AAGTGCTACACATTACAGGACTACTTTTCAATCCCGGTCCGATACTGATATTGAATATTGACTTGGTTTTCTTCCTATGAATTCTTATGAACTGATTTTCAAAAGAAAAGAAAAAAACAAAACAGAAATGCCTTAAGGATAAGTTTCCTTGCAATTTTTAGTTTTAAACCTCAAAAAATTATTTTAAATTGTAAGGCGTACTTTTTTTTATTGCGGTATTTGCGGTTAAAAGAAAACGCCTGGTGACTTTTTAATAAAGGGTTAAATGGGGTTAAATTTGCTAATTTGTTTAAGAGACAAACGTTTATATTTTTAATGAGCAACGCAATTTTTAAATGAACTCTCGTTTTGAGAAAATATTTGGACTACATAGCTGACTGACTGTCGGTGTTACGCACAAATCAAAACATCCTGTTGAATTCATTTTGTCCTTTCAAAAACGTCAACAACAGATCCAGTTAGTTTGAATTTGATGTGAAAACATGAACTTTGGTATCAAGCAGAGTTCTCTATTTTTAATGATATTGGTTTCAATATTGGTTACAGACATGAAATTATATATGTATCCACTTGTTTAACTTTAATTCTTTAATTTTCAGGGCGATGAAGCTACTAAAAAAATAACACAGAATTCAAGAAAAGCGAATTTTAAAACAAAAAGTAAATTGCAATATTTCAATGCGAGCTTTTTTAATTGAATTTTTTTGCAGTACATTCAAATCGCAATACAATAATACGCTGTTGCGGAAATACTGCTTGTCTCTCCAATGATATTCATAAACCAAAAACGGTATATTAGTAATTTCCTATCTAATTAAAATTTAAAATAAACAAATAAGAATTAATATAAATGTAAATTTTTATATAATCTATGTTAAAAATATAATGAAGGTATTCAAATATTTGCTAAGTTAGCTTCTGGGATTTTCTGTTGCTAATTTAGCATGTGAATATCAACCCAATGTTAAGTGCCTCTATTTCCCAGCAGGCAAAAAATGTCACATCTGCAATAATTCAAGAAACAACGCGCTCATTAAAAATAGGGGCCGGAGGAATAATTAACTTGGAAACTCCTAGCAAAACTACACAAGATATTTCTCAAACTGAAATACCATCTCCAGATTCCGATAATGGATTATCAGCTTCGTCTGAAATTGTGGTTCCATCAACTGACACAACTTCAATCAACATTATTACTGAATCGCTTGATAGTATTAACGGCATTGAGTTTTATTAAGCTTTAACTAATTAAATAATTAGGTAATCCAACAGATCAGCAAACGTCCTTGGAAACTTCTGCAATAACGTCTGATATCTCAACAAGTTCAACAGCAATAGAGAAATCCGAAAATTTGACGACGAACTTTATAAAGCAGGAGACAGGAACAGAAAATCCTCCTCCAACAAGCACTGCATTTATCTTTAAAATCACTTCCAATATTTCCAACCCAGAAAGCTCATCTGTCTCAGAAACAAACAGTAAAATATTAGAAGGAGCAGCCTCTGCTAATTCACAGGCGACAACCAAGCAAACTACCTCAATTTCCACAAAAAAATCTGTTAGCACTGCTCAAATGACAAGCAGTGTAAGGTCTCTCACAAAGCCAACAGAAACTTCAACTTCTTTGAAGACAAGTACCACAAAACTTGCCTCAACCTCTGCAACAAAATCGGCCATCAGTACTCCAATGACAAGCACTGTTAAATCGTCCTCAATATCTACCACAAAACCAGTACAAACCGCAACTACTCGGGAGACAAGTACCACAAAACTTGCCTCAACCTCTACAACAAAGCAAGTCACTTCATATAAGGCAGTAACAACGTCGATCAAGCCTCCGACTACGTTGACAACAATCAAATCCTCAAGTCCAACAACTACAACCATAAAAACCACAACTAAACCATTAACTACTACCTTAAGAACCACATTCACATTTACAAACCGACCAACTTTGAGCAAAACTACTACTGTTACAACTACGACTACTTTCCAACCATTGTCAAAGGATGTAAATTTCAAATATAAATTGATAAAACTTTGGCCCCTAAATTAAATTTTCAGAGACTGTTTAACTGTGCCACTCAACCGTGTCTCAAAAATGTAATAGATCATATTTTAAATATTTAGTAACTTTTTCACGGTTTATATGTTTGTGGAATTCAACCATATTTAGCGCACCCTCCTTCTAAGAGGTGACCCCGCAAGAGGTATGAAATATTTAATGTGTTTTTAACATTTATTCAAATAAAATGGAATGATATGAATATAGTCCTTCGAGCATCTTGGTTCACTGCTTGTGGAAATTCATATATTTTTGGAACTTCCCTTGTAATTAAATGTTTCAAGGTATTATTTTGATAGAGCACATCTTATTCCATTCAGGTCACTTGGGAGGATAATATGAAAATGTGCTGCAGTGTCAACATGACGCCTATAGCAATTGAAAATGAGAGCAAAAGATCCTGTCTTGCAAAGTCGTTAGATAGTAAAAACATTTTTACAATTTTTTCCCCGTGTTTTAATTAAATTAACATCATTTTATTTGTGCAGGTGCATGGCAATTCAACAAGTTTTACTGGACATCGGGAAAAAAAGTTTTTCACACAAACAATTCCTTCGAATTCTGTCACTCCTCAGGCGATATTTTATTGGGTAAAACACCTAAATTTTGGGCTCCTGGGGAACCAGTGGTAGCGTGGGACAAGCTATGCGTACTTTCAGCCATTGATGATGGGCATAATTCCGTCACACTCTATGCCAGAAATTGTTCCGAACGTTTTCTTCTTGCCTGCCAAGTAATAATTTCCCACTTATTTTTGAAGAGTGTTTTATAAACTGACCAATTTAAAGACAACAGCTACAACAACGCCAAAGCCAGATTTAAAATACTTAAACTGCAAAAACGCCCCAGCATGCAAAAAAAATGTATGTGTAGTTAAGCAATTTTGATATATTTCCTGTTAATTTATTTTTCCCTCTGCAGGATAGCTTGTTTTCTAACTCGATTTTATCAGGTTATTAACGAAACGAAATTCCACATTAATGTTCAATAATTCAACATTAATTTCAGCTCAATCATCGTATGGTACCTGGATTTCATATTCAGGCCGATTTTATGTGTTCAGCACCAACAGTTTGAATGTACGGATAAATGATTAAAAAATTTACTCTCAATTTTTATCATCGTTTACGAAATAAGTGGGGAGATGCAATTGCGAAATGTTGTCAGATCGGAATGAAACTGCTCAGCATAGACCTCCTATTCAAGTACGATAGTTTGTCTTCAATAATTAAACGTATGGTATTTCAATATGATTATTTCAATAGTATTATGCATTTCAACGTTTTTCATGATGTTGCAGAAACGAAATCTCTTGAGGGTACTTACTGGACATCTGGTGCGAGGATCGCGGATAAGGACAGTTTTGGATGGTGTGCGAGTAACACGAGGGTGAGCAATGGTGTTTACGCCGCTGGGCAGCCCAATAATCTTGGTGATTGCTTGGCTGTCACCTTGAAAGACGGCTCTGCTCAGCTGGTCAGCCAGAACTGCACCAGGACCTCCCTGAAATTTATATGTGAGGTAAAGATTGAGATGTCAGTGCTGCTAATTTGTTACTTAAGTTTGATGATTATCCAGCCTTTTTATAACGCAAATCATTTTGAATGAACAAAAGTAGATTCAAGAGCTTTTAATAAAAAGCATTTAATTCAACAAGAAATAATTGCTTTCAAAATAATATTGCTTCAAAAATAAATTAGATTCTCTTATTTTCCAAATGGCAGTTAATGTGAATCTCTTGAAACTGATTTCACAGTGTAATATATATCGACTGTTTAAAATATATGACTGCAATTCCCATTTCCAAATTATTATTATTACAATTTTTTTAATATTATAATTTTTTGGCAAAAACTTATTGGGAAAAAATGATTTGCTCATTTGCTGTAATTTAGGTACGAGATACAACAAAGTCTACTACACCAGGGAATGCAATATTGCAGGAATGTGGAGCATTATACAACGTCACTGTTGGTAAACGCAGTTTTTAATTGTGTTATATGCGTCGTAAAAATAATGAACTTTCAATAACATCAGCACAAATTGATTCCTTGTGGTCGAGCCAAACATATGACATAAGATTAAAGGTATAATCTAAATATTAATATGTAATTTTACATGATATAAAAGGGTTAAAATATTTCCTAGTGTTTCGTGCAATGCGTTGGCCAGTTTGGAAATTTCGTAACAATAATTATGTTTTAATTGACCAACTAAATGTAGCAAAAATTGTGTACGTAGATCGTGGACGGGCTGGTTGTAACACAGCAGATGATAAACATGGCCGAAAAGCTCTCTTTAGGAGGTGATATTAGCACAGTAAATCAAAACATGGAAGTGGCCTCAAACTGTGGAAATCAAGGTTCAGAACGTTCTAAATCGCATGTGAATTTTAATCAATTTTTTAAAATTTAAAAGTGGGCATGGATGAATGTGATACAGCGTCGCTGGTATTCACTTGCGTTGCAAACGAAGCACCAGATATTTTGCAAAGAGGTTTACTTCAAGCAGAAGTTAATAGCTCCGCGGTAATTAAAATTTTATAACGTGTTCTGTATTTTTATTTTTTACTTTTATTTAATTTTAAAATATTTCCAAAACCTCGATTAGTTAAAAAAAAAAAACAGCATATGAAAGTTTGCAAAACTATGCTCAATTAATTTTTCTTATTAAATTCACTAAAAAAAATTAACTAACAACAAACTTATCAACTGTAGGAGGCTGTTGGCTTACCCCTCGCAATATCCGTTTGCAAATACAGCGTCCCTTACTCCCTAAATGCAAGTTTAAATTTCTGCATACTAATGTGAACCATTGAAATGATTAAAATGACTTACAGATAGCTTGGCGCCAAGCATTTTTAAATGAAAATCGTAAAAATTAAAATTATTGTTCTTTCTTACAAGATCAAAAAAAAATTTTTTATTACTATAGCAAATCCAGGCGGTGCACTGACAAGAGCATATTACAATAAATGTGGTGGACGGAGTTATTTGCTCATTGAGAGCAACGATACCGTTAGTAATATTTTTCATTTTTCAATAAATTAAATTTAAAAAAAAAAATTCAGACCAGCATTGGACCAGCTACAAGAGCATGCTTAGAGTATGGTTTAGAACTTGCAGGATTGGAAACTTTTGAGGAGTTAATGTGTGTTAATGGATTATTCACTGGTATTGAAATGATAATTACTTTTTGCCAAAAAACAAAATAAAACTGTTTTTTTGCAGTTCCAAACAAAGTTTACACACTCTGGACATCGGGATCATTCTGGCAAAAGCAGATCTCCCCAGTTTGGTGTGCGTCCAACGCGGCTCTTGATCCTAAATTGTACCCGTGGAACCTTGACGGAGCAAAAGTGAATCAAGCGGGAAGCGGGGGAATGTATGTCCAAGTCGTAATTAAGACAGGTCAACCATATTTGAGGAATACTGTCAATAGCAATGTGCTCGGCGGAGTATTGTGCGAGGGAGTTTTTAAATAATGAGAAAGATATTTAGATGGAAATTTCAAGCGAAAAAAAAATATTTATTATAAGTTTATTGCATAAAACCCCCTAGGCGTGCAACTGTCTAAAGACTAAACATTAGCTTTGATTAAATACTTCAATAGAAACATATTTACATATGAATCAAAATTTTATTTGGATTTTTGAAGTTGTAAAAAAGCAAACTTGAAGATAAATAAACACAAATAATGTTAATTATATGATTCCTTAATTATCCACAAAACTTCTGTACTGATGATAGATTGCAAACTTTTCAAAAAATGGTATTTGAATTTAAATTTGTATTTCCCTCCATGAATTTAAAGAGTCGTTTATGATTATTGTTTTGAAGAGAAAGCAATAATCTTGCTCCGCATGTTTAAGAAATGTATTTTATAATATTTTTTGGATTTAAATTTCAATTGCCATTTATAAGCATTTCAGTTAAAATATTAACTGGAATTTAATAAATTTTCATTTTAAAAGTTTTCACGATTTGAGTGATATAAAATTGGTATATTTTCTAAATTTTAATTTGTAATAATTATAACAATTAAAATTATGTTAAGTTTATGGGCGAGCACGCTTTTGGCCAGACAGAAGACCTTTGACCTACCATCTTTGGGCAAAAGACCTTCTGACAGTTCTGACCAAAACGTGCTGGGACAGAATGCCTTTTGTCGTAGAAGACTGTTTGTCAACAACAAGTAAAAAAAGGGTTAAAGCAATAAGAAATCCTGGAAGAGAGATTCTGCAAGATTGGGGTGAAATTTACAGTTTCATACGCTTAGTTAAAAAAATGTTTTATCTTCATTTGCCTATTGTTAATTAAAAATAAGTAGAAGAGATAGATTCATTGCCAAGCAAATCATTTGATGTCGGCAAATAATAAATGTTTTGGAGGGTTTGAAATTTCCGTAAGTAAAAAAGATATTGTGGAAAATTGAAACTTGAAAATATTGACGGTTGTAGAACGGCAAATCGTGATGCACCAAAATGCTTCGCACGGCTGAATAGCTCTTGCCATCGGAAATGACGTTGGGATACGTCAATTAAAAATGTGGTTTTTGCTTTTATTCTACACTTTTATAGTTGGGCCGAGTTAGGCCAATAAAAGTTTACTCTCTATATTATTATAAAAAAATGACGTTCGTAAAAAAAGAATCAGTTGTGCAATAACGCCAATAACAGTAATTTCATTGATATAATTGACAAATGTAATACATTTACGCAAAGGAAACGACTTTGATCTATACAATCACCACCGTTGTGTGTTGTGTGTTGAATTTTGAAATTATTTGTTTGGTAATAAATAAATTTTATCAACAAATTAAGTAATCCAACAAAAATTCTTCTTTATTGTTCATATAATGTGGATTTGAAGAGTTTGATCAGCTTGTTATTTCACACTCGGCACCCTAGATAGTTGGCTTCTAACACTCGGACTTTTCATTGATATCTCTTCACTCCTCTATACAAAATCTGTGCGAGCGAAAATGGCACAAAGGGGTGTGCAGTGCAAGGTTGCTTTGCAATAAATAAACGGCCACTCAAAGACCCTTTCTAGCCGCTTTTGTTCCTGCGGCTGGCAAAGCGCAAAACAGCAGCAGCACACTTGCACGCAGCAGTGGCAGAAAACTCGTTCTTGGCGCACGGCCAATCGCCTCCTTTCCATTATTTGCATAACAAAAAACGCTGCGTGAATTTTCAACGAGGCCTCAAAGCTTTGAATTTATTCGCAGACGTCAAATAATAATCATTCAGAATTTGAAAATCAAAACAAGAGGAGAGAATTTGACAAAATTTCATTCACTTTAAGCATTAAGTAATTTAATATTTAATTTGATAGTTTTTTATGACATTCCAGTAAGTCACACTGCGTGATTACACAATGATTTTATTTTTTTAATTTTCAATCTGATAGGTCTGGTTTAGGATTTATATCCACAAAGAATATGCGAAACGTTTGTGAGAATTTGGAATATTTTAAAACCATGTTAATTATTTAAAAAAAAAAGATTACCACTTGGCAAAATAAAATATTTTTAAAAAATTTTAAAATTAATTTTTTTTAATTAATTTTAAAATGGTCTTTTGAATAGAAGTGTCTTTTCTTTATAAAAAAAAATCGGCGCTTTCTTAAATTTCAGAACTAAATTAATTTGAAATATATTATATCCGTGATTTTAATTTTACTTCTATAAAATTACATACAAATTATATAGATCTAAAGATACTTTAATTTAGAATTTTTTCTTATTGATTAAAAATAATATTTTAAAACATGTCAATATATCTTATATCTAATCACTCGGAATCCCCTCTTATAAAAATTACATCACATTTCCAAATCCTATTTTAAATATTGAGGTACTTTATTTTCCTTCAAATCTTTTTACCACAGTTCTATCGCAGTCTTTAGATTTTAACCGGATTTTACTTTTTACGCTTCTTTTACTCATCTGCTTCCAAGTTAAACGCCTTGTAAAATTAGACTTATGCAATCCGCTATGCAAAGGTGTCGCGCAGGTAGCCTATTTCCATCTTTTTGGTTCAGAAGCGAGTCGCCAGAGAGAAGCACCGAACGACAATTCTCATCTGGACGGAACGGCCACGCCTTCTTTTACAGCGGCCTTTTGTTGACATTCGGAGGCGACTGCCGAGTTTCCCGGCCGAAAAATGGTGTCACGTCTATTTTCGTTAGTTTTCTTTCGTCGATTTTGTGGAAATTTCAAGTAATCAAGTTCCTCGTATGAATTCAGGTGGGGAGTGAGAGGTGGCCTGGCCGGAGGCGCCGTTTACTACAGCATCCAGGAGGGTCTCTGGAGCGATGCGAAAACGACCATAGCCCTTTACGAGAGGACCTGTGAAAAAACCAAGGCCCTTGTCAAGGATGTCCCCATCGAGGTATATGATTTTTTTTTAACAATTTTATGTATTTCATATTTGAACGAGAGGATTATACATATTTTAATAATTTTTATTTTACAACAATTGCATTTTGCTGAAGTTTTTTCTTTCCCTTATTATTTTGGTGGATTAATATTTATTTAATTCACAAAATAAGAACTCATATAAGTAATATATTCAATTAATTTGAGGTTCATGAGGATGGCTTATTTAAGAAAATTCCTAATTTCAATTATTTTATTTTAAACAAGTAAAATGAAAATTTTCCTTAAAATTTCAGTCATCGGTTATGTTGTATTGTTGGAAATTTTTCATTATTATGCCCATTTTACAACGAATTTATTTCAGTCCTTTGCAAAATTTTATAAGCCTAGAAACAGAGATGCTTGAAAAATAATAATTACAAATTACAATAATTACATAAAACTGCAATCATCAGAATTTAATCAGCTTGAAAATACAAGAACAAAAATTTTAAATGCCAACACTCGAGGTGAATTTCATGAAAAATTGAAAGCGGGGAAACCTCGTTGCAAGAGAAAAATAAAAAATGAAACTAGAGTCCTGCGGTCTGCTGTTAATCTGCATTTTATATTTTATTATTATTAAATAAAACTTAATTTAATTTTTAATAAATTCCTACACATCGTCATTGGGGTACCTGCAGACCCCAGGTCACCTTTTTGGGTCAGTGGTCCTCGATTTTTTTCATTTTTCTCTTAGTTTGAATTTAAAAAAACCTTCCATTTATTTACAATTAGACTGGAAAAATAATGCAATTTCAAACAATGCTTCTTATGTATAAAATATTTTCCTGATAGTAATTCCTAAATTTTACTTTCCAGATCCCAAAAATTGATGTTCCAAAGCCTACTGAAATCGGCGCTTTCTGTCGCGTCAACTGGAATAAGGCCGTGTACGCTGCCTTTGACGGAATTGTAGCTGCCCCTAAGAAAATCCGCCAGTGGACTTCGAGTGGCTACGACAGTTTGGTAAAATTGATCAACGAACCACCAAAGCCAGTTCAAGAGTGAGCAAATCGTTAGTGGTTGTAACTGTATAATATGTTTGAATCAACTGTTGTTATTGCATTTAAAATACTGCAATAATAAAAGAGTTATGATTTAAGATAGAAACAGATTGATTCCTTAAATTAAAGAAAACCTTTCATTGTATATCTTTTCTATTATAAGTCTAGACAGGTAAAAATGTGTTTTGATAATTTTTATACTCAATTAGCCATTCCACCTACTTTTACTGTTCTAACTGGTTGTAATGATAGGCAGACCAATAACAAGATGAAAAAAAAAATTGGAGCAAATTATAACAGATGATTACATTATTTATTGAGTTTCTGTTATACAAGCAATAATTTTGCAATACAAATAATATCTTAAGTACAAATGAACTTTTTCTTTAAGGCACCGACCAAAAAATTAAAGAACAGATTCCGGCCATACTGCAGGTTTGAGACAAGCTAACTGTGATGTTTTCATCTGTGACAAATTGGCTTACAAAGACTTGGAACGAATAGCTATCTTCGGGCAGGTTGTAATAATGAACAAAGATTTTGTATTTCACATCCTTTACAAGGGCATGGGGTTTGACCAAGCAGCAATACAAGTTAGGGTCAAAATCTTTTTTTGTGGTTCCTTCACAGATTTTTCCACTTTCACTACATAATTCAAACGATGCGTCCGGCTTGAAATGATAATTAGAATCGTGAAAGTCCAAAAAACGAAATCCCACAAAAAATACATCTGCGCTTACACTGAATTCTAAGTAGCATGGTGCATCATAATCATTTTCTAAAGATGTGGGCAAGGGCACCCAAGTTGCCATATCAAGAGAAAATCTCCAGTCTCTGTTGTGGCTGAATTTTTCTGGCAAGAGAGTATCATTTTTGGTAGATAAGCTCATAAAAATTTGCATGCTTTCTTTGGCAGTTAGAATTTCTAGACTGCTGCATTTCAAACAAAAACTGGTAAATTTCTCTTGATCCATTGTTAAGAAGCGAATCCACTTCAGGGGCTCATCAATGGCCTTCCTCACCTCCTCACCAGACAAAGGCCCACCTTGGGTTTTTACTCGAGACATTCCCCACAGAACGAGGGCTTCAAGTAAACTGCATTCATTGGAAATGGAAAGGGTGTTTGAACCCAACACATCCATCACTGTTTCCAACGACACATTTTCCCAGTAAGGACTTTTGATTACATAAGGAGTCTTCATTTTGATGACCTTTTATGGAACAAAAATAGAAATTAATAGAATTCGCAATAACAATTATTCCTTAATATAAAGTACCTTCATGCACCTCTTCAGGCCTTCTTCATTTCTGAGCAGCTTAAAAACATCGTAGACGAAGGCAACATTTTCAGGCAAGGGCTCTCTCAGAAAAAGGTCAGTGGCTTCTAAGAGGCTTTGGATTTGCCATTTGTGGGCAAATTGGTACAGCCGAGCAGCAGTTATCTCATCTCCAAAGTCAGCTTTCCGGCCATAGACAAATCTATTAACCAAATTAATTATTTTACAAATTTAAAAAATATATATTTTTTGTCGGTTTACCTCATGGCAGCATTGAAAATTTCTGGCAATGCGTCCTCAATTAAAATTGCATCGTCCGGTCCTAACTGAGCCTCTTTGAACTGACTGTTGAACATGGTATAGAATATGCCACTGGCTGCTGAGAGAATCAACTTATGGCACTTGAAAGGCTAGAATGTGAAGAAGCAAATAATTAGAATCAAAAATCAAATCAAATATTTTGAAAGCTCCGTACCTGAGAGCCTTGCAATGCACCGACTCTTATTGTACAATCATACATCCACGAAGACTCGTAAAAATGTAGACAGTTAGAGAAAAAGTCTGCTGTGTGCTCCCTTCTATCATTTTTTATTTGACTTTGACTAGTCTGGCTGGTTGAAGAGTTGGATTCCTGTCAAAAGAAATTCATTATATAATTATAATTATAGAGCATGACACTATTTGAATAAAAGTTAATATGTTAAAAAAATTATCATTGCGTACATTTAATTAATATGATTGATTATTTATAATTCAATTTTATAACATAATTAACTTAAAATTTGTGAATTTGACACCTTGTTTGATACATATTTGATTATTTATATTTGTCAAAGTAAATATAACGTGGATGACTGAGGAAACCAGTGTGTGGGAAACAAATTGAAATGTCCAAAATCAACTTATGATTAGAAATCCTAATAATTCTTTTCAAAACAGCGCGTTCAAAATTAATTAATATATTTAAAAAAAAAATACAATACAATACCTTTATAATCGGTTCCATCTCTATGAAGTATTTCAGTACGGTATAAATCAACGGGAAATTTCTTTTTTCCTCTGTGTCTCACAATTTTCAAATAACCACGAAATAATTTATAGTCTAATTATAAATCGCGATAAATCAAATGAGACGATCAGGATGTTGATGCTGCGGAGAGGAAACTAGGAAAAAATCTGATGTTTTATGATGTGGATTAGATGCTGATGCTCCGCAGTGCACGTGTGGAATGAAACTTTTGAGTTGGACAAAGGCACAAGTCGCCTCTTTTCCCCACTCGCATGAACCAATTCATCAAAGCAAGTCTCAAATATTTTTTCTTTTGCATTATTCAGCTTATCTATGTAATACTTTAACATATTTTGTTGTCAGCACACATACCAGATGCCTGACATTGTTCAAAAGTTAAACGCGAGGCACGCCAAACCTCTGGCTCGCTAAAAATTTTGGGAGTGGAATTCCACACTGAGTCCAAAATTTAGATTATTTCACCTGCTCAAAGACAGCAAGTTCATTATAGAAGAATTATTTCACCCCTCACCGCTCACTTGTGTGTTTCATAAAATAAAAAATAATAGTGGAAGAATTATGACAATCTCTGACCGCTTGACCTTTATCGACTCTAAAATTGTGATATCTTTCATTTAAAAAAAGCGTTTATTAATAATCTTTGTTAATTTTAAGATACAGCAGATTTAATTAATATTATTTATATTTAAAATTTACTATCAAATAATATATTTACAAATGATTACTGATATCAAGAAAAATATTTTTTCTTTAGATTTATTTAATCTCCATATAAATAATTTGATATTTAATGACAACCAAATCTAAATTTTAATATTACCAGAATATTATATTTTCCCTAAATAATATTAAAAAAAGAACAATTAGGTAACGCTAAAAAAAATGATAATTATTTATATGTGCCTGTTCAAACGATCAGTTCTCCAAGAGCTGGAGACCTCTGTGAAAATCTGCGCAACTGCAAGGATGGCGCGGAATAAGAGCGGGCGCCTGTTCGAGCGCCGAGGCGCTCAGTTCGCCCTGCATCACGGACTGGAAGAGAAATCGGCAAATTTCCACGCTTCCTCTTACGTGAAGGGTTGAAGACCAACACGATGGCGAACAAGATGAGCGTCAGCACCATCGAGGGAGAAGCGGTGAGTAAACATAATTTTTTCAAATTTTTTGATCTGTGTTACAAGTAATATTATAATTTTAAATTCTGCGGTAAAAATTTAAATTTCATTATAGTTTATGACAATGAAATAAGACTGATTGTTTGTTAAAAAACCATCAAAAAATTAATTTTTTGCCCTCCCGTTAATTTTAAGAGTAAAATTTGGGTAGGAATTTTCGGGAATTTTGAAGAAAAAAAAAATGTTTATGTAAGCTTCAATTTGAAGGAAACCTAGTAAGCAGTGCTCAAATTTTCCCCAAAAATTCATAATGATTAAATCTTATATTAGCAAGCACTTCATAATCTAATAATATTGCATATGTTTATTTTAATGAATGAACTTAAGAAGAAGAAGAGGAAGGAGTAAAAAATTTGCCACGTTCCTCTTTTGCATAAAATATAGTCTAGTCCTCCTGATAATTAATTCCAAGCTTCAACCTGTTAGTCAAATCCATGCTTGGATGTGTGCCCGGGCACAAAAGGGGTAGCTCTTGAACTAATTAATAATGCAGGCGAGCATAATTAGTGGAGCCGAGAGCAGATGGACGGTAATGCGCGCGTAAATCTGCCGCTGAATCTCATCACTGACGAACAAGAACGCTCGAATAATAAATTTAAAAAGCACTCGGGCCTTCCTCCAGGAGCGCCGGGTGGATTTGCTTCTATACATTCCACGTAGTTGATGAACCAAGCGACTTCTTTCCGGGATCATAAAGTAAAAAAAAAAAAATACAGCAGACTCGTGGAGGAATTTTCAATTTAAACAGGTATACGCCTACGTAGAGTTTTTGGAGTGAGAAAATTATGAGTCATAAATCTGCCACTAGGAGTTAAAATTAACTACATCAGGTGAACTAAATAGAATTTTTTTTTCATCTTGACAAAAAGCTAAATTTGCATTGAAATAATATATATTCCCCATGGCCCCAAAATTAATATTTAATTATTGTAAAAAAGTTTATTTTTTCTAAAGCAATAAAATAATATGTAAGTAAGCGTCGTACAAGATCACTAGAAATGTTTTTTTTTTAAATATATTAATTAATAATATATTGTAATAAATATTGGAATTGGAATATTTAAGATTTGCATGAACTAAAAAAAAATGGATCTATTTACAGTGGGATGTTCATATTTTTATGAAACGGAAAATAATCATAACATGTTAAGAGTTGAAGTAAAATGAATATATTAGGTTGCTAGTAAATACATTTTTTAATTATACTTTATGCAAATTTTTGATGAAACTGTTATTCTTCTTTAAATTTTGGACTGACTGGTAAAATAAATGAAATGAGTGCCAATTTTAATGTGCGCAATGCTAATTTATAATATAAAAAAGGATTTATTGAAATTTAATATGAAATTTAACCAGCTCACAATTAAAAAAATCAATATGATTAAATTCTAATTCCAAGAATATAATATCTTTATTGGCTTCAAAATACAACAAAAAGCTTTATAAAGTGCCCAAAATATATTATTAGGGCGGAATATACAAAATAGGAGTAGTGAAAATAAATTTAAAATTCTTTGAACAGCTTATTTTATTGCAAAAATGCATGGTACTTCATACCATGAATTTGACTTTTATTCAAAAAACGACGAGACTTTGTGCTTTGTTTTAAAAAAGATCAATAGAAATGTCGTTTTTTGTGACTGGCACTTTAACATTTGGGGCAAATCCAAGTGGAGAGAAATGCGAATTTTGGTATGGCCAGCGAGAGGGAGAGATTTAATTCAATCGCGCACAGAAACAATCCCCTGGCAAAGAGAATGCGATAGCGGCCAACTTGCAAAAACAATACCCGAATTCCAACGCATGGATGGGACATTCAGAGGCGGCAAGTAATGCGTATGGACCATTGTGCAAACTGCCCAGTTGTTTGTACCCAGAGTGCGCGCATTGTTCACTTTTTGCCATTTACTTTTATCCCGGATGTTTTTACGTCAATCTGAAAATACAGATTTTTCCTTTTTCCAGCGCGCATATTGTATTATTTTGCAACCGCAAATAACATTTTTCTGCCCACGATGAAACCCACACATTTGGCGCACTGTGCTATTTCGAACATATATTTTTCTAAAATGTTAACGTATACTTTGCGCTAATTTTAGAATCAGCCATTTTTTCTTTTTGCCTAATCTCCTCGGGAAATACGCAAGAAGGAAAATGTTGGAAAACTTTGCAGACGCGTTAAAACGAATTGGAAAAGTTGCCCACGCAGATAAATGAGGCACTATTTATGGAGGAAATGACGCCGTTTAAACATTAAATCGGGTCGTAAATTTAGAGCACGCCGTGATTATCACGATGTGCCTCGGCTCGGTTGGAAATGCGTTTATTCACGCGCATATAAATTAGCTTTCCCACGCATTTTTAAATGCCGCATTGAGAGAGATTATTTAAAATATAGACCATGCTTCCTCATAATTTGTCAATTTTTTGGGATAAGCAAACAAATATTTTATGCAGTGAGACACAATTTTAGAAATATGAAATAAGCGTCGTGGGATAAAACGCAATTGAAAGTTATTTCGGGATGTGGTCATTTAAAACGGCGAGTAACTGCCAAAAAATTTGAATATATCGCGTTTTTTTTAAATGTTTAAATTAACAATTATTCGCTTTATTTCTGCGCAACCAAAGCTTATTTGACTACTTATTTGTCAATTTTTTTATTATCATAAATTGCGAATATATAATTGATGCATTAAAAACAAAATGATTATGAATCACTTTGTATTCTTTGAATTTATAATAAATCATGTACAGATTGCGCTTTGATATGGCAATAAACTCAATTTGTCACTAAAATATATGAAAGTCTCAATAAGTCAATAAACTATATTTAATATTATCTTCATAATTTAAAAAAAAAATGAAACAAATGATATTGACTGACCATTTAAATTAATTTCACTATAAAAAGAATTATCCAATTAGTTTGGCCTAAAAAGAAGACAGTTTGCCCATCCCTAATAAAAAAGACATTTTACTTATAAAAACTTAATATGTATTAATATGGAACTAGCAGATGAAAAAAATAAGAGGACTTTTTATTGGTAATCAAAAACCACTTTGGAATTAATTTAAAAGCTTAAGAATAAAGTTTTATATTCCCGGTGAGGATTATTACTTTTTTTCTTTCTGCTGATGACGCCAGTCGACAGAATAGATATAAAACTTTTCATATTTTTGTGTCGTTATATCGTTACCGAGCTCTGTGTCTCTCTAGAGGCGCTGATAGTTCGGCAACCGGCTTGATGTGGACACATGTGAGTCGAGCGGGTTGCATAACGATGCCTGGAGCGGAGAAATTTTGCCATGCTCTTATTTCCCCTTATTTTTGAATGCTTTTTGATAACCTCATAAAAATGGAGAATTTTCCCTGCGGACGAGGAAATTCCGATGCGACGAAAGACGAGACTGTGTTTTTAGAGTAAAATAGACGAGAAACCTCCGTAGAGCTTCTCTCATGACAAAAACGGGGTTGCAATTTTATTCCAATACTTCGAGCCGCGCAAAAACATAATATTTATTTGTTATTGGATATGGATCGAAATGGAGCTCCATTATTGGCGGGGTATTGGGAAATGCAATATGGCGGCAACATAGGATTTCTTCCTATACTAATTTTTTTGAGTTTTTTGTCATTATAATTTTTGTAAAATAAAATGATCTTGAAGTCTGCAAGCATGGTAAAAATCAAAGAAAGTTGCAATGTGTCATCGTAAAAAAAAATTGCTCTTTTTTTGTAATTTATGGAAGTTCATTTCGTTGATATACCTTGTTCTTAAATTGATATAAAAATATGTTAAGATTTAAACTTTATGTGCTTTTAAAAAGAAAATTTAAAAACATATTAAAAAATTGAACACATATTTAACAGTTTATCAGATATTTCTCACCAATATTGAGCAAAAATACAGGAAAAAATTATGAAACAGAAACAAAAATTATTTAATTTTTGTGCTATATGTTAATTATTTCAAATATTTATGTTGTTTAATTAATATGTGAAAAATGACTGCCAACATGCTCCTATAACTTTAATAATTTTAATTTATCAAAAATTTATCTTTGTGAGAGAAATATTAGAAAAGCAAACAAACAAAAAAATCTAATTTTTCATATATAATTTACAATTATTGAAGCTACACTAGTTTCATTAAGAAATTTATTTTATTTTATATTTAATGAATATTTTAGTTTTGGTTTTATTCTTGAAAAGACATAGTTGATTTGTGTCTTTTTGCTTCATTCATATCAATTAAAATAAACTTGGAAAAAAAACATAAAAAGCTGCATCGTTAAAGACTTGGGTCATTTTACTATAAACTATGCTTTCAACCTAAATATTTCTGCACTTTTGTCCTCTTTCCGAAGCGATGAGACATTCTTTACGGGGGCTTAAGAATTTAATAACCAAGCCACTAGCGATAGTTGTCCTAGCTTCCTTTCGCAATAACCATGCTTGTGTTTTGGGAAGTGAATCCCCCGTTTAAGTGACCTCTCCGAGGCACACAGCCGCGCACCTCTCGAGACCATTTCTTGGGCGGGAAAGCAAATCTGCCGGTCGCTCGCTCATGATAATATAAATGGAAATCTACGACTGTTTGCTCTGCTCGCCGGGCGAGACGATTTCTTTTCTTCGGCTGATATTGCTTCCACCGGTGCTTTCATCAAGACCATTCTCCTTTATTTTTGCACACAGCTTGGGAGTCATTTGCATATACGCAGCCATACAGAGCAGGGAGGTGTAATTTCAAAGCGGGCTGCTGGAATATTAAGGCGTCTCTGGATTGGTGGATTCCGGTTGTAAAAACGAATTGTTACGACGCTCAAATTGCAAAAGCTGGCGAAAATTTCACGCAAATTTATGCACCTCGGCTGGTTGACGCCATTTTTCTGCTGCCGCGGATTTGCCATTTTTCGGGCGCGTTGTTTTTTATTACGCTAAGGGTGTCCGACCCACG